GGATGGGTAAAGGCTATTGAAATCCAGTAACAATACATATTTGTCATACAGTCTCTTTTTGGCTCCAAAACCAATTCACCTGCATAGGCAGGACCCTTTTTGTCTTTTCCTCGTTCGTTATGAGCTTCCTCTTCAAGATTCACATCATCCCTATTCCCATCCTCAACACCATGAGTTATTCTCCTTTTCAAAACTTTTGTTTCCTTAGTGTGAGGTGAAAACTTGTCTGGGAAAATATACTTTTTAGCATGAAATGCGTGCAACAAAAGATACTCTACTCTTTGTGCCCTAGCACCCTAAAAAGGAACGTTTTTATGTCAAGTCAATGAACTGATATTGAAACAAATGCACACAGGGAATCAAGTGGTACTCACCTGGAGAGTCTTTTCCCATAGATTACCACTGATATTGGTCAGCTGGCGGGTAAGGGGAAGAACACTCAGATGAAACATTAGTTCCATAGATAACCATGCATCAGTCTCGCCATATTCAATCTGAACACATCACAAGATATAATTAGAAGCATAATAACTCAGAATAGAAGCAAATTTCCTGTTACATTTGACTAGTTTGTCCTGTTGCACATTCCCTGAGTTTTATTATCCTCAAGTTCAAGCAGTACGGTCCACTAAAAGCTTTTAGCCAAGAATGGACAATTCATTAATTCACTTACAACAGGTATTGAACACTTCAAGAAAAACATCAACAATCATCATGCAAGTTGGGCCCTTAATATCTAATTACTGCTAATATTTATATTCTCAAATACATGTTTAACAATGACCTCCATCAATGTTTTTTTAAAGGTATGACCCCTATAAATGTTATTGAAGTTTAGATGATACCTAATTGAAATGTAATTAGACATTACAGAAAGAAAACTTCAGAACCATACTACTATAAGACACGGTTACCAGAACCTACAAGTTCCATGAGCGATGCAGATTCTGCATTCTACAAAAAAAAAAAAACAATACCATTTCCTGATTAGAATCTGCAGATTGAACTGATTAGGGTCTCACCCAATTTTCCAAGTGAAGGCAAACTTCTGTCGGAGACCTTAGAGCAACCAGACACAAAAAGGATCTGCAGATTGATCTGATTAGAACGAGCTAGAGATGCAATTCCGGAATCAGTGATAGCACACCCGGAGACATCAAGGTCATTGAGCAATTGACAGTTATCTGCAATCGCACCCAAACTAGCATCGCTGATCTTACAACCATAAAGTTTCAGCATTTCTAAAGTCCAACCATGCAAATCAGCCATGATACAGACAACTTTGTCACTCAAATTTTCAAAATGATGCAAAAACCCAGAAAGGAAATCGAAACAAAAGCCTAGGTTGAGGGTGAATGAGATTACCATTTGACAAAAGCACTTCCATCTTTGGCGCGGACAAGAGAGGCTGTAGAAGCGTCGGTTGAAGCAGCGTCGACTCTCTTCCTAGGCTTTGGTGGATTGGATTTAGATCCGCCTGTCATCCTCTTTGTTCTCCAACTTAACACTGAGAAAATAATGAAAAAGAGAAGGTTTCTTCTTGCGAGAAGAAATATCGTTGGAGCGATGGGTTGTTTGGAGAGAGGAAAACAATTAATAGCAGAAGAAAAATAAAAATATGAGGGAAATGATAATTATGGTTTAGTTATTTGGCGCCACCGTGTTATATAGGTTGTTTGGAAAGAGGAAAATAATTAAGAGCAGAAGAAAAATAAAAATAGGAGGGAAATGACAATTCTTGTTTGGTTATTTGACGTCACCGCCTTATATAATTTATATTAATAGAGTATTTATAATTAATATTATAATAATTATATAATATAATTAATATAAAAATAATTATATATTATAATTAATATTAATTTAATTAATATTAATATTAACTTATATTAATATAATATAGAATATAGTCTATAAAATTAATATTAATATTAATATAAACTATATGTTATAAATTATATAGTATAGTTTATAAACTATAGTTAATATAATTAATATTAATATAGTATAGTTTATAAACTATATACTATATTAATATAAATTATAGTTAAGATAATTAACATTAATATAAACTATATAGTACATTAATATAAACTATAGTTTATAAATTATATACTATAGGTTATAAAATATAAATTATATAGTACACTAATATAAACTATTGTTTATAAACTATAAGTTACATATATAGTTTATATAACATATAAATAGATTGTATATATACATATACTATAGGTTATATATATATAGTTTATATATAGTATACATAGTTTATACATACATGTACTATAAGTTACATATATAGTTTACATGTATACATATATTATAGGTTACATATATTAACTATTGTTTATGCATAATATTTAGGGTTTAGGGTTTTTGATTTATGGTTTGGGTTTTATGATTTAGGGTTTATATTTTAATGTTTAAGATTTAGGATTTAGAGTTTATGTATATTGTTTAGGGTTAATTTAGGGTTTTTGATTTATAGCTTAGGTTTTATGATTTAGGGTTTATATTTTAATGCGTATGATTTATGATTTAGGGTTTATGCATATTGTTTAGGGTTTAAGGTTTTAGGGTTTATATAAACTATATATTTTATTACTTTATATAGTTTATGCATAGTGTTTCTATAAACTATATAAGTAATTTACTTTATACATATATTTTATATATACTATACATAGTTTATATACATGTAATATAAGTTACATATATAGTTTACATGTATACATATACTATAGGTTACATATATTGACTATTGTTTATTTACTATAGGTTAATGTTACATATATAATTTATATAAACTATTGTTTATATAAAGTTATAAACTATATATGAATTATCAACTGTCTATACATATATAGTGTATAAAGTTTAGGGTTTCTATAAACTATATACTTTATTACTTTATATAGTTTATGCATAGTGTTTCTCTTTCTCTCTCTCTCTATATAATCTATAGATTACTCATATTAGTTAACATACATATATATACTATATTAATATAATTTATAAACTATATATTTTATATATTTTATACATATATAGTTTATATATATGTATATATATATATATATAGTTAAAAGTAATTAGAATGTATACAAGATTAAATTGCATCGAATTGAAAATTCAAGAAGATATTTACAATTAAACCATGACTAAAATGAAAGAAATTAAAAATCAAATACAAGTGGAAAAATGATGATTGTTGGAGGAGCATGAGCCTAATTAACCCAAAATATTTTGTTGGACAATATCATTAGCGCCAACTTCCCAATTTTTTTTATTCTCTTTAAATTTCTCAAATTCCTCTAAATTCCCAAATAAAATCAAAATTGTTCACAAAAAAAAATATTTCTTTTAAAAAGCTTTCTCCTACCACTCACTTTGAATAATATATATATATATATATAAATTATAATTTATAAACTATATATTTTTTATCGTTTATACATATATAGTTTATATATATAGTTCACATAAACATAATTTATATATATAGCTTATAATAATTATATAGTTTATAATATAAATATAGTTTATATATAAATTTATATTATATATGTATATTATTTTTTCAATTTTTAAATGAATGCAATTTACTATATTTTTCATTATTTCTTTACATTTTGTATTTATTTCGATTTAATCTTTTTGTGTTTTTTAATTTATTTCAATTTTATGTCTTTCACTTTTATATGTATTCAATTTATTCCCTTACCTATGTGTGTTGTTTAATTTATATTTTAAGATTTTATTTGTAATTTTACATTTCTTTAATTTTGTCATTAATTTTATTTGTTTTTTACAAAATTGATCTATGAATATTTATTTTTCTCTTATTTTACTCGAAATCATATACAATTACAACTTCCAATTCAACAATCACGAAATATGACAAAATAATTAATCTAAAAAAATAAAACGACCCGACCTGAACTCAATCCGTATCCGATAAACATCCGACCTGAATTTTATCTGTCAATGTTGTGACCCGATCTGAACAAGATCCGACTGAAGTCAACCCGAACATAAATTAACCTGGTCTTTATCTGCTTCGGACCTGAATTGTTTTTACATGAACTGATATTGATCCAAACTGAAAATGACCCGACCTGAACCCGATCTGGATATGATGTCAAATCAACCTGAAAATAATTCGAACTGATTTGACATGACCTGAACCCGATATGGTATCAAATCAACCTGAATTAACATGTAACAGATTTTACTCGACCTGTCAAGATCCGACTAAAACCTAAATTACCTGATTTTACAACCCTAGATGTAACTATTTTTTCCCGTTTACATATTAAATTACAAATGGTGTAATGATATGGATTTTTTATTTATATTATTATGAAATAATAAAAGTTAAAAATGAAACAAAATCTTCATCCTATCTCCATTAAATAAAATAAAATCCTCACCCTCACCACCATCGTCAACGAGGGTTCAACGCTTACTTCGAATATTTAGTGCCATGTTTCGTACAAGTGTTCATATTAGCAGTTGAAAGGGGGGAGGGGGGGAAGTCGTTGGCCTTAACAAATCGAATCATATCCAAAGAATCAAATTAGATGCACCATTGCACAAATTTCTTCCTGACTGAGGCTAGTGAATAAATAAGCAGTAAACGTTAAAGGATACTGTTTTATGTTTCTGTTGTTGAGCATATAAATATATATACACTGATTAATCAAAACTATTAATAAAAAATTATTATTATTCTTAAAATAGATATTATTTTATACTTACGTGAATTAATAAAAAAAAAATACATGAGGAATGTAGATGGACACCATAGATATTTGACAATCAAATCCTAACCCAAACCAATTTAAAAATTTCAATTATAAAAACCCAAAATAAAGATGTGATTATATGAAGCCTCAGACAGCCAGTGAAATTGACATCAAAATAAATGAAAATTCAGTCGGTAATTCCAACTATAAAAACAAATCCTCATAGGCTTCCACAAATAAAAGAATAAAAACTGTAATCGCCGAAAACGGAACCGAGGACTACAATTAATCAGATCCACAGGTTCCTATCAGCGGGCGAAACATGATATTCATTTCGGTCCGATAATAGCATCGCCGGTCACTGCTCTTTGGCTACAGACGACGTGGCATCGGACCCAACACTTTAAATCAAACAAAAAATAATTGAAAGAAAAATCAGAGAAGAAACCCTCAGAGACCCGTTCCAAATCACGCACACAGGGCAACAAGCTTACAGGAAGCCCCGGAATACCCGGCCATCCATCAAGAACCTAAGAACAAAAATCAGAGGGCTGAGGATTGGCGGATGGGAAATCGGAAACATTCCTTAGCGTGTTGCCGCTGCTGATTAAAATGTCATACGGCACTTCCTATCTATGGGAATTCTTCCTCATCGGGATTTCCAATTTAAAACCAAAAACACTGAAAGAAGAGAAAGAAAGAAAAAGGTCCGCGGATAAACCCTAGAATTACACATTACTGGAATGAAAACAGTTTAGGTAGGTATTTATAGGGAGCGCTGGAGCGAAACCCTACATCTCTGAATTGGATTTCTGTGGACTTATTAAAGAGGAGACTGAAACTCAGGGATTAGGCTAAATTTGCTAACTTGGGCTTATTTTTCATATTTGAAACAAACCCCAAATGGGCTTCAAGCTTGTTATTATTAGGCCCAAAATGCTTGTGGTAGGTGATACAACCCCGCCACAATTATTTCCCTATGTTTAAAAGTATTAACCAATAATCAATGATATACTATGATGAGATACTAGATTGCTTAAATAAAATTAAGAGCTTAAATTTTGTTGTTACAAATAAAGTAAACTGAGTTGAGAAGATTATCTCTATAATGAGCCTCTACAAAACCTGATTTGAAAAAAATCTTAATGTTATAAATAAAGTAAACTGAGTTAAGAAGATTATCTCCATAATGAGTCTCTACAAAACCTGATATGAAAAAACTGACCAATAGATCAAATATTAATAGTTAGACAAAATTAACTAATAAAGTTCTTATTTAATTAATATTTTATTCTTTAACCAAGTTCAAACCTTTCACTTTATTGGACTTTGGTTGGAATTAATTAAAAATAAATCATATTTGATGTGTTCTTTTAAGAATGGAATTAAAAATTACAAACATAAATATATAAATATTAAAAATAATGCTAAGTCAAAGCATTGATAGACGTAGTACTTAAATATTCTTCCATACAAAAAATAAAAGTAAGCTGAAAACAAGTACGGGTTTATGCCTTCTACCTTGAAGGTCGCTCGTTGCTTTAGCTCCATTAGTGAACAAAAAAGAGAGATCTAATGTCATTGCTAATGGCTATTTTATTCGGATTTCTGCATAAACAATTTTAAGAACTACTAATGAAGGCTGCAACTGATTATGGTGCATTGACAGCGGCTGTTACTGATTTCCAATGGAGCCAGAACTTTAAGGAGCCATTATTTTCCTTTTTACTGTTTGTATAAAAAAATTGTTAAAATAAACATTTTTATAAAACCAGCAAACTAAATTCAAGTAAACATTTTTATAAAATCTTAAAAAAAACAAATCACATCAAAAGCAACCAATAATCACTTATAGGATAGCTAAAAGGTGCTAAACAAAGCCATTAAAGCTAAGGTGTAACTTAAAAAGGAAGGTCCAAATCCCATCTCATTAAGCAAAACAGCATCCATAAAAGGCTCTAGAAGAAAGAGCTGGATATTTCAGAACCAGACCAAGTTCATAACACCCCGTGGCCATATGTCTATATATGCAACATCTACATAATCAGACAATAATTGTGACCTTTAAGTGCTAAGAACAGTAAGCTAAAACATGCCTTCAGACAAATGAGAACATTGTGAAAACATTTGTTCCACCGGTTTGGTGCAGCATTGCATCGATCTCATCACCATCCTCCATTTCCAGCTGAACCAAAAAAGAAACAAACAGGAATTTTCATTATGCGTTTGAACATATATTCAACTCATTAATACAGCTGGTTGTTAGCTTAACAGAGAGAGAACGGAATGATACCTCATCAGGAGTTTGCTCGCCTCGAAGGCGGCGGCCATCAAACAAGAAGGCAATCGAGTTGAAATCCACAGACTGTCTATCACAATATGCATTCATAAGCTTCTTCAGTTGTGTGCTTCTTTTAATCCTGAAGAAAACTTCGTTCCCGTCCTATACTTGTCAGGCAAAAAAAATTGATGAATTTGGTCCAAATTAGAAGAGGAAGCATTAGTCTGAGAAGTCATTATAAATCTCAAATTCAATTCAACAGCAAGAGAACCTTAACCCAAGATAGTTCGGAAGATGATCTGATTTGCAATATATATATCATTCAATAGTAAATTAACAAAGTTGGAAACCCAGAATTCTGTTTAGTTGATTCAAACTGTAGCCTTTAAAAAGATGGTTTCAAGATAGATAAGTCAAATGAAGGTGTGTTCAAGGCCGCAACAAAAACCCCAAAATTATTTGAACCTTGACGTTACTAAGCCCCATAACTTGACAAATAATTAACATCACGTTACCCATACCTCTCACTTTTATGTGTTTCCAAATTGGATTAAAATAAATAACAAGCAGCACAAGAAGACTAGAAATAACTTCGAGATTGATGTTGTACAAATGGGAGGTATGTATGCAAATTTGTCAGCCAACTTAAAAAGACTTCAAGAAAGAAAATTATAAAGAAGCCAGCAAAGTCAAAGTGAAACAATGGTGTTTCGTTCTGCCAAGGAAAGGGTGTCATTATCACGTAAACAAAAGAATCAATGAGAATGAAAAAAGCAAACCAAATAACATATCCTAAACATCTTAGATGAACTAGAGAGACAGTATCTGGCTTTGGTTTGCTATACAAATAGCAAGAGCAAAATGCCCATTACGTTAAAACCAGTTAACATTCATTTTATACTACCAATATACTTGAAACATATAACAAAATGACATTGAAATTCACAAATACCTATAAGTACTCCGAATTCACCATTACACAGGATTCAACAAATCCATATCATGAAATTTATAATTACATGTTTATTATGGTAAATTTTAATACTAATAGAAACATACATTCATTCGTTTTTTTTAAATATCAGGTTACCGAGGCCAATCTAAACTCAAAAGCATGCAAAAACCGAAAAAAAAATTAGCATATAACAAAAGAGGATGGGCAGAGTGAATAGGGTTTGAAATAGATAGATAACCCGAAAAAAGAATTACAGAAGTAACTTAAATTTCAATTGTTAAACTCCATGAAAAAAATAACAGGAATTACAAATATCAAGCTTTAAATCTAGCCAATCGCAATCACGTCAACATCTTATTTAATCACAAAGCGAAAGCATCAAACACATAAATTACAAAATAATAATATAATAATAATTTTTTGAATTATGAAATCAATATTGATCCATATTAGCATACTTCTCTATGTGGCGATGAAATTTTTTTAAAACAACCAAACAAACAAATTAAACAGAAAATTGAAGAAAATTTATCTTCCAATATTAAGTGAAAAATGAGAATTTTAAAGACCTGGCCTTTGACTTTGAGGTTGATATGGGCGGCAGTTTGGTCGCCGGCCTTCTTATCTTCCTCTTGCGGTTCCGACATCTTGTTGTTGTTTAGGTCTCATCAGCGATTTCTGGTTCCGATTCTGCAATAATTCGATTCTTTATCGATTATAGAATTAGGTTTTCTTTTCGATATATCTGATTTCACTTTGTTGCTTAATATCAAAATAAGTGCTCAAATTATTCCTCTTTTCTGAAATAGGTGCGTAAATTATTTTTTGATTCACCCGATACCTAACATTACCCATTCAGATGCCCGAGCTATCAACGGTATTAATTCATTTGTTAAGTGACACGTGCCACAATCTGATAATTTTAAATTTTTTATTTAAAATTAAAAATTAAAATTATATATATATATATTAAAAAGAAAACATAAATTTTGAAATAAACCGAAAACTTTGAAAACATTCATTTCAACCCCTAAACTCATGCCGACCACCATCTTTTGCCATCGACGAAGCTCCACCCGACATCCCCTCTCCCCAATGACCAAAACCTCTATGAAATCGTGACTGGTCGACAACAAATCAAAGTTTTATAACCCGCGAACCATATGATGAATATCACAATCCCACACAATTCTAATGGTCAATCAATGAAAACTACGACGACATATGAATAGGAGGATGATAGGGACTATGTCGGTGGCGGTGGTCGTGGTCGAAAAAGACAGCAGTGGATTAAGATTAGGATTTGGGATTTTGGGATTGTTTTATATTATAAGAAAGTTTTTTTTATAAATATAATATTTTAATATTTTTTTAAAAATAAATTTCAAAATCACTAGATTGTGACACATGTCACTTAAAGGAGTAAATTAACGTCGTTGACGGTCCGAGTACCTAAATGGGTAACATTTATAATGTTAGGCACCTGAATTAATAAAAAAAATAGTGTATACACCTATTTAAGAAAAACGATATAGTTTGAACACTTATTTTGGTATTAAGTCATGTTTTGATCAAGACACCAAGCTATTGTTTTTTAATCTCGAATTTACAAATTTAATGGCGTGTTAAATTATTACTGGAGCAATGTTAACTTTGTGAGATAAAAATTATTTTGTCTTTTTGATCTTTAAATATTTTTATTTTAAATTTTAAATTTAATATTATTTTCGTTTATAATCTTTCGATTATGTAATATTTCAATATTATACTACTAAAAAAAACCACATAATGGCACATATTCTTATGATCAAAATTTAAAGTTCATCAGTTAGTGAATTATTGAATTTTCATATTAAATTCTATTTTATCTTTTATTTTAGATATAAATAAAATTATAATTTAAGAATAATATTAATATGTACTAATGGAATCTTAATTTGATTGGATAAATGTGATAGAACCAAACTATAACAATTATAAAATCAAATCAAGATTTAGTCATGTCAAATCATCAGAAATAAAATATTAGATGTGGAAATGTATTACAATTAATTGATATGTTGAAATCATTGAATCTTTCTTTGGTTTTGATCTTCCAATAAGATAAAATTCTCTTGAGTACAAACTTTCTGAGGGGATAAAAGAAAATATGAGATTTTCTATTTCTTGGGAATCATAACTCATTTATATAGCTGATTTAAGAATTAATTTTTGTTTGTACTAATAAGTTTCTCTCGCATCAAATTATAAATATAACTTCAATTATATATATACTTTTATTTCCGTGACACTTCTAATACCTTATGATTTTATAACATATTTGGTCACTTAATTTATGTTATATTTTATGATAACAATAAACATTATAAATATGTGTTCATAATTATGGATTTTAATCTAATAATCTCCCACTTGGGCAACATATGTTTCTTGATAAATGTATAACTGTATGATCTCAAAATTTGTTATCATGCAAAAGGTATTCTATAATAATCTCGTCTATCAACTATATTCATAAAAGATTAAAGTGGCTTTTACCATATCAATCATGACTAGACTCCATCAATGGTCACGTATACAGACACATTCAAATGACATAGATCAATCATGGAGCATAGCATGGAAATTAAATGCAATGTGAATCACACATGTCTATTTCTAATTGATCCTCTTTAAACATTAGCGAGATCAAATTTTACCAAAATCAGAGTGTTGATAAACCAAAACAAACTTTATTTTTACATAAAATAACCTTAAAATAAATATCCTTAAACTAAAATAATTGATCTTATGTTTAAAACAAACGAGCATTTTTAAAGTTACAAACTCCCACTAAAACTGAATATCCTTATGTGATATTACACTCGTATGAGTAGTGTGCTCATGAAAGACCTAGGTTGACAAATTCTTTAGCAAACATGCAGTAATAAGTTTGTACCAACATGCTCTATAAACACATAATTACTCTGATTTTTCTTTAACAACCAGAAACATAATGTATGTATCCTTAGACTTTAAGGTGTTTCTATTGTATATAGAATAGAGTATTGCAACTTAATTGTCACAAAATAACTCACGTGGTATTTCTTATCAATCCATAATTAGCAGTTCATGTGACAAAAATTTACATCCACATTCTAATAAGCCAGAGTTCATAAACATGGTGATCTTTTTCTTACTAGACCTTCGATATGTGAGCATGTAATATTTTTGTTCTTAAATGTATCGTATCAATCATTTTGGCTGCTATCCAATGATTCATATCCAAATTACTTAAATATCTGTTTAATATCCTAAAATTATATGTTATGTCCAAATGCGTATGAACCTGAGTATACATTAAACTCCTTATTTATTTTTGAAGCATAAAGAACCTTTAATATTTCCTTAGTTTAATAATCATCCTTAGGGCGTTGATTAAGACTAAACTTGTTTTCTTTATCAATAAGGGGTATTATTTGGTTTACTCCCACTGCACTTACAATATATACAGTTGTTAACCAAATTTATCTCAAACGAGATAATCACTTGATGAAATGTGCTATACAATTAACGAGAGTAATACTTGAACTTATAAATGGATTTCTTTAATTTTTATATCATTTGACACAATTATCTAATTGCATCGTATAAAATATTTCATCAATGTTACCATTGAGAAACACAATTTTGAAATCCAACTTATGTAACTCAAATTCAAATATGAGCAACAAGTATCACAATTATCCTGAAAGAGTCTTTCAATGAAACCAAAAAGAAAGTTTATATGAAATTAATGCATTTTGTAACATCCCAAACTACGGGTTAGTAACCAAATTGTAAAATTTCATAATTTGGTGATTAAAATAGAATAGTTGAATAGTTCAATGATTTACGTGGAGATATTTCCTGAAAGTTGTTAGTAATTATTAAAAGAATTAAAGGGCAAAATGGTCATTTGACTTGGAAATGATAATAAAATGATATATAGGCATGTGAGGATAAGGATGAGGAGATATTTTCTCCACTTCATCTTCTTCTTCTTCATGTACGAGAGAAAGAGATAGCCAAGCTTACAAAGGTAAGTTTTCAAATTTGTTGATCATTTGTCGATTTAAAGGTTGGGTTTTGATCATTAGATGATAACTAAGCTTAAGGAAAGCTTAAGTTATCTTAAAATCAAAAGATGGAGAAGTTATGAAAGATTAAAGAAAATGAGTTTTTTAAGTGAATTTTTGGAAAAGAGTTGATAAGTTGAATTTGAAACTAAATTTGACTTGTCATCAACTTAATTAAGAGATATGAAGTGATAGAATTGGATTTAGAACATCTTGAAATTTTTGTATGATTATTTATTTCCATATGAAAGATGGAATTTTGAGATTAAAGATGAGATAAATTGATATAAATGAGTTTAAGCATGTGTATGTGAGTTAAGGATATGAAAGGGGTTGAAATATGACACAATTAAATTAGAAGGAAGTAATTTACGTGCATAAATGGGAATTCTGGACTAGTGTGCATCAGTACACATTCAACATGTACCGATGCATCAAGGGTAAATTTCCAGAAATTATTCAGTGTGTATCGATGCATACAGGTAGGCATCGATGCATGGAAATTTCGAACCTAATTTGGGTATCGGTGCATCGATACACTCCTAAAGGAAAAGCTGAAATTTGGTTTATTAAATTAGCCTGAGTTATTAACATCAAGTTATAAGGTTTAGGCTTCTGATAATCGTCTCAGAAATTATGTTTATGTAGATATTGAGCCTAAACAAGTTCCAGAATTAAGATCGAATCAAAGCAAGGTTAAGGTGAGTGCAAATGCATAGCATGATTATAGTAGTATATTCAGTTCTAGACTTGTGATAAGTCTAGATTTAATACTTTGATATATGATTCATTTCATATTATGAAACATGATATGAGTTCATACCATATATATTATGTGACATGAATATGCAGGAAAAGTTATATGTGATATGTGATAAAGGCACGAAAATGATATGTCTATGAGATACACTATTGATTCTTATGTGTGCATGAATACATGGAAATGATATATGTTATTATATGTGACATGATCTACATGCTTACATGTATATGCGATAGGTGATAATGAACTACCAGAATATGAGAAATAAAATAAGCTATGTGATAAGGATATAGAGAATGAAATGAATGACATGAAATGTATGTATGCTTGATTATATGAGTGGATATGTTCTTGTAAATGTTATATGGTTTATGTAAATAAATGGAAAGGTGAGATAAAATAAGTAGTATTTATTGATAAGGTAAAAGGAGATTATGTGTCAATAAGTTATATGAGGTGAATGATATAATAAGAAGCTATGAGATCAGAAGATGTGGGTTTATGTGATATGAAAGTGTATATGTGAAATAACATGATAGGTGATAAAACGTGAGCATATATGAATATGTAATATGAATGTGATATATGTGATTTATATGAAGCATATGAGAACAAGAGATGATAATGATTTACATGTCATATGAACACAAGAGAAGTGTTATAAACTAAGTGACAAATGATTATGAAATCATATGAAAAGTGATATGAATTACATGAAAGAAAACTACATGATTATATGCACAAGTGATATGTGACAGAAAAGAAGAGATATGTGTTTATAAGAGAAATGATATGAATAAGTGATGTGAATATGTGAACTGTTATAAATGATAAAGCCCATGTTATGTGATATGAG